CACAGGGGAAGAAAAGTCCTTTTGTACAAAGTCAGCCATGTTCAAAACTAATGACTAATCAAAAAATGTAAATTATAAAGTACATGAAACAGAGTTGCTTGCTTTTGTCAAGAATCTGAGTTCAGCTCTGAGGAAGCAAAGCCTGTGAAATCTGTGAAGTTTTTCTGTACCTTTCCTGCATCCTCAGCCAACGAGGAGCCGAATGATTTTCTGCTTTTTGTTTTCCTTCTTCTTTGAACACTGAGATGGAAAAGTTAGAGAAGTAGCTTGAGGTCTGATTAATGGGACGTGAGTACCTCAGCATGTCACCTCAGCACAAGATTTTTATTTTCATGATTTTGTTAAAAGGCTTTTCCTTAGACATTTGTAGGCAAGTGAGGATATTTTCTGCACTGAGATTTCCAGAGACCCTAAAAATAGCATTTTCATTCCGCTGGCTTGTCTTGAAAAACCTGATTAAGACATTTCAGTTGCTGAGTGATTTGGGAAGTGAGAGGGTCAGTCTGGAGGACCCAGGGATCATGGCGTTGCTCGCTCTTCATCCCCTGGACTGAGCCTGCTGGGCCATAGGGTCCCACGCCGGTGTGGTCATGTTCCTTGAAGTCTTCTGTCCCACCTCAGTGTGGATTTGCCTTTCTTTTCACATTCCACACTTCATCACGATCAGCTTTCTTCCCTGCTTCCCCTAAGATTATGTTTTCTGCCAGTTATTTCATCTTTCTTGGTCCCACCCCCTTTTCTTCTATACTGCCTGACCTGATAGAAACCTCCTCTGCTTGGGGTGCCCCACTGCCCAGCCTTTTGTGCTGACAAGTTCACAACTGTGTCCTGCACCGAAGTGGGTTGGAAATAGTTCTGGTCCCAAGAGTTAGTCACCTCGCCCAGTTACGGAAGGAGCTGCCGAGGCTTTGTGCGCAGGACTCTGGGGAAACTTGACTTTGTCCAACTCCAGTCATCTTTCGTGTATAATACCTGTCATCTGGTGAAGGGGGAGGGGTCAAAGTATGGGGAGAGCTGCAGGGACCTGTCACCACCAGTGTCCCCACAGTTACGACCTAGACAGGTCCCTAAGACCATCAGATTTAAGTCAACAAGTCGAGTTGGATTTTAAATGCTTTTGTGAAGCTGACTGTTTAAAGTAGTTCTGTAAGGGATCTGCAAGCAAGAAATTCTATTTTATTTGTTAAATAAATACGTATTTTTACATGTTGGTTTCTGCTTAGAATAGTATACTAAAACAACGCAAACCAAATTCCACATTTCCTGCTGAGAGAGGGTCTGGTCTGGTGCTGTGTGATGAAAAGCATCCCTGCATATTTTGTACCAAAGAAGGTTCTTACATCTTTCTACTGAACACTAGTGAATTTTCCTTATTTATTTATTTTTTTTGTGGAGGTGAGATTCACCCAACATAAAATCAGCCATTTTAACGCTAACAATTCAGTGGTTTTCTAATATTCACAGTGTTGTGCAGCCACTCACCTCTATTTAGTTCCAAAATGTTTTCATCACCCTGAAGGAAAACCCCATGGTCATTAAGCAGCCTGTCTCCATACCCCTCCCCCCAGACCCTGGCGACCACAATTTGCCTTCTGTCTGTGTATTTACTGACCCAGATATGTCCTGTAAATGAAATCATGTACTGTGGGGCTTTGTGTGTTTAGCTTCTTCATTTAGCATGTTTTCAAAGTTTACCCCCATTGTGGCATGGATCGATACTTTATTCCTGTTTACGGCTGAGTAATAAATACTCCACTGTATAGACAGAGCATATTTTGTTTGTCCAGGGCCATTTGGTTTTTTTTTTTTTTTAGAGTCTAAACTCTTTACTATGTTGGACAGATGCCTTTCCTTCACTTCTGTCTTCCTACCCGCCCTCTTTCTTTCAATTAATAGACTTTTCTTTTAGAGGAATTTTAGATTCACAACAAAATTGAGCAGAAATGACAGAGATCTCCCACATAATCCCTGCCCCTAGAAGCACAGCCTCCCTTACTACCAACATCCTCACCAAGGGACACATTTGTCATAATCAGCGAACTTCCATGGACACATCGTTGTTACCCAGAGTCCACAGTTGACATTGGGGTCACTCTTGGTGGTGTACTTTGGGTTTGGACAAACATATAAATGATACCTATCCACCATTAGAGTGTCACAGACAATAGTTTCACTGCCTTAAAAATCCCCTGTGCTCTGATTGGTCATCCATCCTTCTCCCCACAACCACTGCTCTTATTCCCGTCTCCATAGTTTTGTCTTTTCTAGAATGTCATGTAGTGGGAATCACACAGTGTGCGGCCTTCTCGGATTAGGTTCTTTCACTTAGTAACATGCATTTAAGGCTCTTCCACCTCTTCATGTCTTGATAGCTCATTTCTTTTTAGCGATGAATAATATTCCACTGTCTGGATGGACCACAGTTTGTTTATCCATCACCTACTGGAGGGCATCTTGGTGGCTCCNAAAGCAGTCTAGACCTAGAGGCAGTCTAGACCTGAGGATGAGACTGCTGCTGTGATTGGGCCTGTCCCACCCATTCTGCCTCCCCTCCTGTGTTGTTGAACAGCGTGACCTCATGTACACAGTGTGGTACCAGCCATGGCACAGCATGGAGGGTAAGCTATTCCCACCCTTTCTCTAGCAGCTTTGTCACGTTACCCCTGTGGGGCATGCTGACTGAAGAAGTTCGAATTGTCCTCCAGTGCAGGATGCACAACTTCAAGACAGCCAGCAAGTCTGTCTGTTCGTGGACATACACACTTCTCCAGGCGGCAGTGAGGACCTCTTGATACTCTGTGTGACAAACACCTTTTGGCTTTTGTTTTTGGCAGTTTTTTGTCTCACCTCATCTGGCCACTTTTGTTTTGAGTGTGGTGCCTCCAATATCCATCCTTGCTGTGATTTACGGACGATATCTCCGGAAACTGACCAAAATCACCCAGGACTCGCTGGCACAAGCCACTCAGGTAAAGGCCCTTTCCTGGCATGGTGCCCATTGAGTGAGCTCAGAGCCAGCACCAGGGCACCCTAAGGCATGCTTCTTCCTGCCGTAGATCCCCAGATCCTAGACACCTTCTAGACTGTATCACTGCCCAGACATCAGAGTAGATCCAACCCACCTGAACACTCTACGAACTTCTTCCTTCTTATCACTATTTCTTTAGGACATAAAAGCTAAACATATTTAAAAAACACTTTCTGGATGACACTCTATCCTTCATTAATTAAAGGTAGCTTTGCTATGCTGTCAATAGTGTCTTTTTAAAAAATTAAAAATAATTGTTACATTTTCCTATTACAAAAATCATGTATGTTTCTAATTGAAAGTTTAAAAAATATAAAGAGAAAAAATAACATGCATAATCTTGCCTCATAACTAACGTTATTAACATTTGAGAGTCTGTCTTTTTTCTCTGCATAAAGGTATATTTCTGTATCTATCTCCTGGTTATCTTCCTATCTACCTATATGTATGATATGCATATGCATAGATGTTTCCAAAAATAACTGTGTTCTATATACTCTGCTTTGCAACCTGGTTTTGACTTAGCCATGTACCACGAGCAGCTTCCATGGGTAGTGTCTTAAAAATGAGCACCATATTTTAATTGTGCCTCTAGAAATCTTGAAATATGACCTTTCCCCCCCTGAAATGTATCTTTTATTCTCCCAGCTAGCTGAGGAACGTTTTGGAAACATAAGAACTGTTCGAGCTTTTGGGAAAGAAATGACTGAAATAGAGAAATACACCAGCAAAATGGACTGTGTGATGCAGTTAGCAAGGAAGGAGGCGTTCGCTCGGGCCGGCTTCTTCGGAGCAGTAAGTACATCACTTTGGAGAAGAGTGAAAAGGGTAGATGCTTTCACTAGGAGAGATTTCTATTCTGTGTTTCTTGCCATAAATAGAAAATAATTCTTTTCTACCTCAAGACTAAATTTCCTTCCTTAAAATGTATTTGTGAAAAAGGAGGAAAGCAAGTAATTGTAATTAAATAAAAGGCAATGCGTGAGAGCAAACAGTGTGGAGTCAGGTACTCATCCTCAAAGTGTGGTCCCGACCAGTTGTACCAGCCTCGCCTGGGGCCTGGCCAGGCATGCAGACTCCAGCTACCCTCCAGGTCACTGGACTGGAGCCTCTGCGTGTGGGCCAGCAAGCTGTGCAAACAAATGCTCCAAGTCATCCTGCTGCCGGCCATCTAAGACCCGCTGAGGACTAACCAGAACAACCTCAGGGTACTTCAAGAAGGCAGTATAAAAACTGACCACA